ATTTTCTCACCAATGTAAGTTTATCCCTTAATGAATCCAACTCTGCATCCACATCTGGATCAGAGAGAGTATCTTGAACCATCGAACAACTGCCAGGTAACTCATCCTAGAAAGAACAATAAATGAGAGTTCGCAGTTATAACTAAAATAAAGAAAATTTTAACAAAATTATAACCATAGTAAAGCAAATTTTTAATAAGTTATGTACGTAGAGTGTTTCATCAGATATTTTTTTTCTAGACTTCTACATTTTTTTAACACATAGCAACTTGCTGATAATGCTTTTCTTCTAAAAGGCAATAATATTAATTACTATCACTGGATCTTCAGGACATGATCTTTTATCCTCTTCCCAACAAAGTCAACTGATTTTCCTCTAGTAGTTGCCAATCCCACTAAGCCAAATTACTGAGATTGCAAATTTCTACGATACCATGAAAGCAATGATCCCTAAATCTCCTAAGTAAAAATTTCAATGCTATCAATTAATGTCCATCAATTCATCTATGCCATCTTTGTTATTATCATGATAGACAGTAACAAAATTTTCATACCTCAAAAGGTACTTCTAAAAATGCTCTCAAGCATCCTAAACTCCTCTAAAGATAATATCAGGCATTCTAAACTCCTAAGCTCTCACTTCAAATGATAATATAGAATATCAGCTTTCTTTTCCATTTCTAATTTATAGTGTGAAGTGAATAGCTCTGTTATCTCTTTTGCCAACTGATTAGTCTCGATTTCATCTAGTACTCTATCTAACATTCTGTACTTTCAGTGCCATTTAAGTTCCAGTGAATATCAAGTAATATATCCCGGCATGCAATAATAAAACCCATTACACAGAATAACAACCTACATTCTTGGATAAAGAAAAGCCTTCAGGAACAGTGAAGCAGTGGCGAAGACAGTACTTCTCCCACATAGCAAGCCGCTTATCCAAACTTGATTGGATCATATTGCGAATATAGTTGACTCCCTAAAAATAAAAGCCAAAAACAACAGATAATTAGGGTGTAACAAGGAAAAGAGCCAGGTCTTTCGCTGCTACCATAACTAAACCAACCTCTCTCACCCTTAGAAATAAGACAAAACTTACAAAAAAAAACTCTTCAACTTTTTCCGGTATTTCCTAGCACCCGCATTAACTTTATATTATCGAGTCACCAATTTTAAACACCTAGCTTGTTTTCATTCAAGGAACTTGAGAAAGACATGATTAATGAAAATTAAGACTTCTAAATTTTCAATTTAATGCAAAATAATTTGTGTAGCAACTACTATTAACAAAATTTTGAAAAACATAAAATATATTTTAGCTAATCAATCAAAGTTTCCAAAATTAAATAAGAACACAGATAGAGTTCTGAGTAATAATAATTTTTTAAAAAATTGCAGATTACCTTGGTGAGATCTTGGGAGCGTTCGGTGCCTTCGATTTTCAAGAGTGTGGAAGCTTCTCTGCAAATTTCACCAAAATTTAAAAAAACTTGTAAGGGAAATCAAAGAAAAAAAATAAAGAAAAAGACGAAGGGAAACTGAGAGGGAGATACTGGAGATAGAAATCGAAGGCATCGTTGAGGAGATCATCGACGGTGTTTAGGGCTTCGTTGATGAAAAGTTGGGGATTTAGATTCAGAGAATCGAAAATTGCTTCGCTTTCGCTGCCTTCCATTTTCGCGGTCCTCTCCTGATATTTTTTTTTCTTATAAGAATGAAATGCTTCCTAATTCTTTGCTCTGTTTTTGTTTTCTTTTTTTTTTTTAATTATAGGGTTCAAGATAGTTTTCCACTCACAATTTTCCCGCCAAATGACAATTGTGACAAAATGCATCCAGGTGTTAATGAATGAGTCAAGTCGAGTTCGAGTTTATTTAAAAATGTTGATAACTTTCTGTTAATGTATATCTATTTTTACACAAATAAAAAAAATTAGCTTCTTGATGAACTAACAACAAAATTATGATAATAGGTTAAATAACATTTATCTTATTTATTGATATATTTACCTATTAATTCTTTTTTATATTTTGAATTAATGATAATAAAAGATTTTTTTAAAAATGATATCAAAGTTTGATGAAGTTATGCTAATTAATGATTACAAGATTAATCAATCTGACAAATGTGTAGTAAGTTTCATAATGGTAAAGATGTTATCATTTATCTATATGTGGATGACATGTTAATTTTTGGTATCAGTGTGAAACAATTAGAAAATATAAAAAAGTTAATTTTGATATAAAAAATATGGATGTGGCAAATATTATTCTTGATATAAAAATAATAAAAAATAATAATGATTTAATACTGTCTCAATCTCATTACATTGAAAATATTGTAATAAAGCACTATAAGTCAAATTATATGCCAATATCTACATCTTATGATTTTAATATAAGACTAATATCAAACAAAGAAAAGCTAATAGCACAAAATGAATATATAAAGGAAATTGGATGCCTAACGTATACAATAGTGCGTACAAGAGCGAACATTGCTTTTGTGGTAGAAATGCTAAACCGATTTACAAGTAATCTAAGTAAAGAATATTGGTATGTTGTTCATAAAGTTTTAAAGTACTTAAAGAGTACAATGAATTATGGTATTTATTATTTAAGTTTTCTTTCAGTTGGAGAAAGATACGCAAATGTTAATTGAAACTTAAGTAAAATGAATCATACTTCTATTGCTGATTGGATTTTTATAATTAATGAGACGTTGTTTCTTGGGATTTTAAGAAATAAGCTTGTCAAGCGGATTCCACCATTACAGTTGAATTTATAACCTTAGCATCTGTCGCCCAAGAGGCAAAATGGTTGAAAGATTTATTTTATGAAATTCCATTATGGCCTAAATCAATGGCATCAATCTTGATACATTATGACAATAAAGAGACGGTATTAAAGACATTTAATCGTATATACAATGGTAAGGGCTATGAATTAGACTTCAATATAGCATTGTAAGGTAAAGAATTAATCATGGTATAGTCATTATAAGTTATATGAGTTATTATGAAAATTTAACAGATTTATTTACTAAATGTCTGAAAAAGGATTTGGTAATAAAAACTTTAAGAGAAATGGGTATCAAGCTTATCAACTAAATCTCCAATGATGGGAACTCATCTTGATGTTTGTGGTTGACTTGCAAGTCTTGGGTACTAACTATTATACCACATGAATGATTGCAAACACTAATTTATATGATTACGAACACTAATTTATATTTTTCATCTTAAGGTATATAGTGTTCGGTTCTCGTAATGTGTAATATAAGGTTGAATAAATATTTTTAATAAACTTTTAACATATATATGCTGAAGTACTATAATTATCGAGTATTTTTAAAAGAGGCTACATATGTGAATAAAAGTGTGACTGCTTTTAAGAGTTAAAGGCTTGACTTTGATAATACTAATAAATAGATGCAAAACACAAAGCCATAAAACGTGTCAGTAAAACTAGATACAAAGTAAGTAAGGAAGCTTATGTATGCTTAGTAGCCTGATTAGTCAAATGAAGAATCAATGGTTCAATGTTTAATCAACTATTCAATTTAGATTAAAACCAACCATATTTACTAAGTGAAGGTTCAAATCTATGGGTTACTTTCATTTATGCACAAGATTTTTAAACTTATTTATATTTGAAAATTTTGAAAATGGTGGGACATTAATGGCCTATTTTCAAAATAAATAGCTAAGTCACATAATGTGACTATTAGATTATAAGTAGATGTTTTACATGAATAATTATGTCTTTTGAAAAAGTAATATCTTTGAAAAATACATGTAAATCTAAAAGTTATAAGACAATTGAAAAACAGCATAGCCCAAGAGTTCAAATATGAAAAGTTATCTTTTCTTATTATAACTTAAATGTTATGCTTTATAGAATGAATGGTTGTTAAACAATATTTTTATCAAAGAATTGTGTCTTGAAAAATACATATATATCTTTAAAACAAAGAGATATCTTGATGAAAAGGTTGTGTCATTAAAAAACAATTGCAAACCTACATAAAGGACTTATTACCAATCATTTTGACACACTAAAAACTAATATATGATAAGAGTAAAAAAATTAAAAGCAATGGAAGTGTTATGTTTTGAAAATATACATAAACGCTTGAATTCTCCATTATTTATTAAAAAAATTAAAGATAATGTTAAATGTTGACTTCATTGTATCTTTAAAGTTATTCACATAGTTCTCTTTTTACATACCGGATAAAATAAATCTTAAAAATAACATCTATTTAAAAACTCATCTTCAAATCAATTTTACAAGATTTTTGAATTTTGTCTAAACCCTATTTACATTAACACAAACAACAAGTTCTTGAGCGAGATTGGCCTTAAAAATTTATGAATATCCAACAAAAGATTTCCACTTTCGATGATTATAGCTTGATCAAGAAGCTGCATCAATAACCACACAAACAAATAGAAAAATTAAATTTTAACAAAGAAAAGTTCAATAATCCGCGCAATTGCAAGAATAAAGAGGCTAAAAGAAACTCCTTTCCCACAGATATAAATCACTTACTAATAAGTTGGAAAAACTTATACGGCGATTTCTGCAAAATCTTTTTCTCATGGAAGCCAGTCGCTTGGGAAAAAGAGAGAGAAAGTTGATTGGTAATTGGTCATTCCTGTTTGCCGTGAGGAACAGACCGCCAAATCTGGATATGGACATGGGCTAGGCCTTAGATGGATCATTTCTACAATAAATGGGGCTCCGGGCCTCCTTATTAAACACATGCTTGGGCTTCGGCAGTAATGCTTTGCCATCCTTGTAGTCCATCAGTTTGGTTTAGGCTTTTTCAGTTCAGCCTATTTGGAGTTTAATTTGCTTTAATTATAGAAAATTAAGAAAAAAGTTTTTTAGATAAAAAATGACAAATAAAGAAGAAAATAAATCAGCCAAGTCACACAAATAAAGACACCACAATTTTTTCCTTTTTTTTTTGAGCTAGAGTAATAATCAATTAGCTGAGGGAAGCCAACTTTAAAACTGAACAAAAATATACAAATTAATACATCTTTGAGAATTTATAAAATGGATGGATCCATCTGCCAAGTACAAGAAATTAATATTAAAGTTGCTAATATATATTGTGTTATGAGATTTAGTTACTCATAAACTTTAATCTTACACTTATTTATAAAATTTAACCAGTTAAGATTTATTTAAAGAATCATTTATTCTAATGACAATAATTCAATATAATTTAAAAAAAGTTTTCATTTCTTTTTTAACAAAGTAACTGAAATTGAAGACGAAAATACAATATTCTTGCATGCCTATTATGTGTCAAAGTTATTAATCACATCAAATATATTAAGGGTTTTTTTTAATAATTAAAAAAATTCAAATATTAATCACCTCAAATTTCGAAACTGCTTGACATAATCACAACCACCGACGTCATAACATAGCCACACGGCACGAATTAAGGCTGTCCTGTCCACAAAAGGTGCTAGTATTACTGGATTGCTCGACTGCTTCCCAATTCGCACTTTGCATTAAAATGTTTTCAAAATTCCAAAAGGCAACAGATAAGGCCATGGTATTTCTACAAAACAAGGCGCTTTCCACTGTTTATATTCCTAAGCAGAAACTACATATGGCTATGAACACAACTTCTCCTAAAGTGCAGCTTCTCTTTGATCTCTGCAAAAACTCTTTTACACCATTAGGGTTGCCTTCTGCTTCTCCCCAACCCATCCACAAACTCTGCTCTCTTCTGGGTAATTTTCACTATTGCCCTTTTTGATTTCCCTTCATAAAGTTTTGCATGTCAAGTTTGGGTTCAATTCTGCATTTGGGTTTTGCCTGATGTGATGTTTTATGTAAAGGTTTTGATTGGTTAATGATTAGGGGACTTCGAATGGAAACACTTTGTATCTTGTGAATTTTCGAATTGTGGTGGATGCTTTGTGTACTGGTTTTTTCACTTATATTTTTAGCTGTAAATTGCCCTTTTTCTTTTGGCAGCTTATATGAAGGTTGAAAATGTGGGTTGTAATTTGATGACACTATTGCTTGGTTTGTGGTATAATGTCCTTTACTTGATGTTTCAATGAAAAAATTAGTCTTTTTTTTAATTTTTTTTTCTCTAAAGCCACTCTTCTGAGGTTCTGGATTGATGTGACCCAAGTGCTGATATCAGACAAAGCAAGTTTTCGGGGAAAAAATTTTAGTTCTTTTTCTTTCAATATATTTTGTTTAAATAAAAGAAACTCATGCTCATTTTTTGTTTATTATTTATTAATAAGATAGAACTCGGGTATGTGGTTTAGTGACATTGAATAAGGTGGTATTTAAGAGGGGAAAGATATGTTATTTGTTTGCATTAATGCAGCAAGATGAGCTGTGTAATTTGACAGGATATGAATGCTTATCCCGTTTACTACGTCATAATGGCTGTGCAGAGTGCAGCTTTCTTGAGCACAACTTACTACAATGATTATTGAATAGAATTTTAATTTTTGTTGATTCGCAGTCCTTGATGGTAACAACCGTCATTCACTTAACCACGTAAATTGTGATGAGGACATGTAGCTGTGAGAGATTTTTAAACCTATGAACGTACTGGCTATGCCTATTTGTCAAGTGAAAGGTTACTGGTTTTATTTTTCAATTAGTATAAGCTTTTGTTTATTTAGGAGCTCTTGCTCGGTTCAGTGGCAGAATTCTTCATTCACTAGCTTTAGAGCATGGGTTCAACTTCTGATACTTTCCATTTTATACAAAGATGCTAAAGCGTAGGGCTATTCTAAGTTCACTCTTTCCTGGAGCTTATGTTGAGCTAAGTTTGTCTTACTGTAATCCAAATTAGCAAAATAGTAATTGAGAAATAATGTTTTGTAAATGAATTATGCTATTTACTTTAATCCATTTTCAAATAACTACTAAAAGTGATGTTAGACATCTTATCAGGTTTTTGTGCTTATCCATTTTGGAATTTTTGTTATGCTTTGAGGTGTTTTATAGGAAGAGTATTACCGTGTTAGAAATGTTAGAAAACTGCTGTTTCCACGGTGAGGTCAATGTAATTGCAAATTGATATGAGGAAGGGCTGAGTTGTTATCCAGTATATAATTAATTTGGACTTGAATTTCCCCAAATGTGTTGATTTATGATGAAGTCAAAATGGGATCGGATCATATTATCCAATAGGTAATTAGCATTTCAAAAGTTATGAATTTTTGTGTGACAATTCTAATTAGATTGCAACTTTTAAGGAATGATAATTTTTATTACTATCATCATTACCAGATGCTTTTAGTCCTTTGCTACTTAATAGCTGAAAAACTGAAACGCAAAGCATTTTTTATTTACAGGAGTCAATAGTTTGTGATATATGCTACTTTTGTTTCCTGTTACATCACTCATATATACCATTTTACAGACACATTTGGCCCTGCTGATGTTGGTCTTAAAGAAGAAAGTCCAGATGATGATCGAGGGCATGGATTTTTTGGACTGAATAGAGTGGCTCGATGGGCTCAACCAATAACATATTTGGATATTTACGAATGTGATAGTTTTACGGTGAGCCCTATTATTAAATCTAATTTATACTTATGATTTCATGCTCCTCTCTTTAGAGTTTCATATGATCAATTCCAATTGGAATAATTTTATATGTTCAGTGTTTACCATTTTAAAGCTATATGCAGCTTTCTGTTGTGTCCATGAGCTTTTAATTCCTCTGTTTTCATCATCATTGGTTACCTACATCCAAAAGTTTAAAACTGTTTCTTTTTTTTTTTTCATTTCTATGAGTGGCCCTAGGCCTCTTTTGGTGGTATTGATCATCCTACACCTCCAGTCCCTGGCTTCGAGCATCTGTGAACTCTGGTTAATTTAAAATCTCGCCAAAAAATTCACCCTCTTAAGGTTGTAGCACTTTATTCCTAGTGATGGAACAAATGATGTTCTATGCAGATGTGTGTATTCTGCTTTCCTACTTCATCGGTTATTCCACTACATGACCATCCTGGGATGACTGTATTCAGCAAAGTTCTTTATGGCTCTATGCATGTGAAAGCTTATGACTGGGTTGAGCCTGTATGTATTAAGGAAAGCAGGGAGCCAGGCTATCCGCAAGGTTTGATTTTAATATACTTTCTATACATGACAATTAATCTGACTTGCTGGCAATGAAGGGTAATTTTAGTTTTGGTTACTTTGAATAAATCTCCCATCACAACTACCAACCTTCATGAACTTCGTGGAAATGGAACATAAAAAAATATTTATACCAGGGGATGGTAACTTGATCTCTGCAATAACTAAAATTTTTCTCTTCTTTTTTTGATTTTCCTTTCTCAAATTCAGCTATGATTTATAAAGGATGGAGATAAAGCTATGTTGTGTTTTCCTTTACTAGTTTAATCAGCACTTCTTACCATTAGATTTGAACTACATTTTGTTCTAACCAGATGAAACTGTAAGTGTGCCTTTATCAGCACCGCATGATCCCAACATTTTTTTACTTTACCATTACCTTCTAGTGGCATTGTCTTCGAAGAGAAAGATGATAAGGCTTGGTTGATATAAGAATGTCAGCAGCCATGCATTTCATTTACCTTTTTTCCCCAGGGCCATAAGAGTTTTTCAAATGTTTTTTAGACAGGATACTACTAGATAGCACATAACGAAAGTTCAATATCAATCATTATACTCATTTGTTGGTATGCTTACATTTTTTTAAAAAAAAATTGGTACAAGAGTGAGTACTACAACTTGAACCTAGGATCGCTATCCATATCCCGCCCTATCCTTACCCCTTGAGCAAGCCCAAGGGGTATTTGTTGGTACTTACTGATTGTTGGTAACTTGTTATAAAGTAAACCATAGATCTTATGATTTCATTTCTCAACTAATTGACCTTGGTTCTAAAGAAAGGGGGCTAACAAAGCAGCCATTGGTCTAAGTTAGATGCCATTGGTCTCACCTGTTGCCGTGATATTGACTGCACTAGGCCAATCCTCTGTCAGTTGGACGGTGATTGCTACATATCCTGGTGGTTTGCTTCCCTGAGAGATTTGTGGTCTTGGGTTTAAGTTCCACATATTGATGGGATAAAAGAGAGCCTCCTATTAGGAGAGCAAACAAATACCAAGAAAAAAGATCAATTGTAAATCACTATATAATAATTAACCATTGAATGTCATTCCAAATCTACATTAAAACTAAAAGGACTATGGGATTACCTTAAACAACCTTCCCAATGGGCTTGGCTTCTCCACATTCTATTCGTATTGTAGCCCCTTCCCACTTCATTTTTACCTTCATCATATTGTGCTTCTGTGGGAGAGATAGACCATTCTCTCTGTCTCTTGGGACAAGTAGTTCCTTTTTTAAGTTGGTAGAGAATATGATGCTTGGTTTTTTATTGATTCATGTCACCTCAGTATGATTTTGTTTCTTTTAGGACAGAAACTTAATACAGAATATCTTTTTGGCAGTAAGGTTAGCAAGGTTGGCGGTGGATAAAGTTTCTACTGCACCATGTGGGACCTCTGTTTTATACCCAAAAACTGGGGGGAATTTGCATTGTTTTACTGCAGTCACCCCTTGTGCTGTGCTTGATGTACTTGCTCCTCCTTATAGAGAAGATATAGGTCGCAAATGCACTTACTACATTGACTACCCGTATTCCACCTTTGGTAAGTTAATCTTTGGTTACTGCACAATTTTTTCTCCTGTTGTCCTATGTTTCTTCGTGGTATTGTTTAGCATATTTACCGTGTGACCACCTTCTGCAAAGTTGTCAATTGTTAAAGAAGCATATCACTGATTCTGCAGGAAATGGAACTGAGATAAGCAATGGAAAGGAAGAGGACTATGCATGGCTTGCAGAGATAGAAACACCAGATGATCTATATATGCGCGAGGGAGTATATGTTGGCCCAGCTATTCAGGTTTAGCTCTTGATATTGCTCTTTGGCATGATTGGTAGTGAATACGGTGTTTGCTCTTTGTCTTGATCAATGTAAGCTTGAGAACGTTTTCATGACAATTGATCATTATGGCCTTACCATATACAAATGAGAATACTGATTCCATAAGCTCGATACATGGCTCTGCCCTTTGATGAACAGAATACATATACTTGAAACCAAAAATGTTACACAAAATCATATAATCTGAAGTTTATAGTAGGTTGAATGTCCCTAAGTTTTTTGGTTACAGCAGTCTGGTAAATATAATTGGAAGCCTTTTTGTAATTCTATCCTAAGTACTCGGAATATATTGCTGCGTGGTCTGTAATCAGAAAGTGATGGGTTAGCGTAAGGGGAATTGGGCAACTTTAGCATTATCCTTGACTGAGAAGATTCATAACTCAGCGAACAAAACTGTGTAACAAATCTCAACCTCTTGCAATCTAGTCAACTGTCCAAGTTGGAGCTTTGGGCAAAAGAAGATTGAAAAAAGAACCCCCTAAATGACATATATTTCATAGAGTAGGTCTGGTAAGAGAACAACTTTTCATTACAAGGCTTAGCAACATTACAGATGGTAGTGACCCGAATCAATGAAACACATTTAATCAAGTTCCTTTTACACTCTAAATATAAACTTCAAGCAAAACTTGATTATTCAGATCCCAGAAATTGGAAAT